TCTTAAGTCTCTGGAGCAAGGCCTCCCCTTTGGCCAGTCCACATGCCAGGCAACCCAAGTGAAAGGACAGTAGGAAGCCTTGTACAAAGCCTTCTTCCTCCCTTCTATAAAATCTAATTAAGAAAGTAACAATGGTAGAGCTGCTTTAGCCTGATTTTACCAGAGGGTGAGCTGGGCTGTGGCCATTCTATTTCTCCCCAAGCAGCAATTTCTCTGTTCCTGCCTTGCCCATGTTCTAGACAGCTGTGAGGTGGCACACAGCCCAGACAGCAGCTGCTGCTGCACACTGTTATGAGACTCCCACAGGCTATCATTATACCTTATAAAATTATTTTAAAAGTAAATACATTTCATTTTTACAAAACAAATCCCATTCTACCAACTACAAGAGGAACGGGAAATCACCAATGGTTACAGGGGGCAGGCTATAAATTCCTCATAAAGAGGGGGCAAAATGGTTACCAAGCAGTTTTTTCCATGTTCATTTTAACTGAGCTAGCCCCCCTCCCCTTTCCACTCTAAACTGCCTTTTCTCAAACATCCAGCCATCTTTGTGAAATGCTGGGATTATGTAAAACTCACATTTTTTCTTGCACATACAAAAAAATTTTAAAAAATTGGGGATACCACTTCAGTTTTTAAAAAGTTAGAATGAACAACTCCCTAACTTGCCTTTTGTTATGGCAGACCATTTTTCTACTCACAGGCCTTAAATTAATGATGCACTACTGTGTATCCTTAAATGTAGTTCTTTCTTAACATGCAGAAGGAAGTTTATGCCCATGAACACCCTTGCCTCCGATCTGCTGAATCACAATGGTCCATGTAGTGCTGAAGTCACTAAGCTTCCCCGTGTTTTCAGTCTTCCCGATACCATTCTAAAAGATGCTGGCATTATCACACCTGACAGTATGAAACAACGGGGAAACAGGAGAACACCCCGTTTCTTTTCGTATAGATCAGATGAGCCCTAAACATAGGACTTTCAAGTGTGGTTATGATTGTAACCTTACTCAAACCTTGAAAAATCTCTTTTCATTTAATGCTTCTCTTCTAGCAAGGTAAGTGAAACCTTTATGTTCAACAGAAAAATGTGAGGGTTACCTTCGTTTCCATCTTGGTGATCTCAATCGTGATCTGACCATCTTCTCATATATTTATAAACTAACTTCTTGAAGCTATAAAGAAAATAAAAACAAATTACTATTTAGTAATAATTAGGATTTGTTACAATTGGAAACAGATGGATTTTTTAAAGTAAAGTTTAATGTCTAAACAGTCAGAGTATGTTATTGGCAGATAAATCTCTTTTATTTTGAAATGGTTAACTACAGGAATAAAAAAACAAAATGGAAAACACCTGCAAACTCTCACATTACCCGAAACTGCAGTATTAATACTTTTCTGGCTTCACTTTTACAAATTATTTTTTTCTTCTTACAATTTGAAACTGTAAGGTATTTGCACAACAGGAACACAAACTGTGGTAGGTAAGCCAAGTAGGCACCATCCCTATTCAGGTGGATCAGCTCTGGCAGGAGATGGCCAGAAGGTTCTACCAAAGAACACTTGCTGGTAACTGGTTGATGATTGATGATTTTGCACCTGCTGGTTGCCGAGAATCCCAGGAAGAATATAATGCTAAGGTGAACCTTGCTCAGATACACATTAATGTTCTTAACAGTTCATATTCAGAATCATTCTGTGTCTTAACTGTCAAGAGATAATATGTAGGCACTCTTACTTTCTGGATTTAGCACACATTGGTAGACTACAGGAATTCTAGTTTTCTTTTTAAGGATATAATACTGTATTGAAATTATTTGCACTTCATGTAAACTAGTTGTGAGGCAAAACAAATCTTTATGGTCTTTGTCCACTGACTTGGGAAAATTACTTCCCAAATGTAAACATATGAGGGAGGTAATGCTTCCAGGATCAGTCTTGTAACAGTCTTTGATTCATTTGCATCTTAAAGCCGTTTTTGTATAAGCAATGGTTTGGTGCATTTAATATCATCTGTATCCTGTAAGAAAGCTTCAACACTGTTGTAAACTAAAGAACCAAGCATAAGCTTTATGTTGAAACTAGAATGTAGTTTGAAAGATGTTACCCTTGAAGACTGTCCTGAAACTTCAGCTATAGCATCTCCTGATCCAGTAGATACTGGGAACATATTGTATCTGCTGGGGGCCCAGGAGGACCCAGTTCCTCAATCACACATTCTAGCACTCCGACACAGGAGACTCCAAATCACTGAGACCCTATTATTATAGCAAAATCCACAGCCTAAACCTTACGGCTGCAGTCTTCAGAAATCATACAGCTGATGGCAATTTGCCATAAGCTCTCAATATGGCTCCACATCTAGACAGGGGGCTGAATGTCTCAAAGATCAAATTTCACACCATTCCATACCAAGGTAAGGAATCTCAGCCACTTCTACAAGGCAAAGAATCTTAGAAAGAGGCCTGACAACCCTCACATAGATCTGAGCCACTTTTGCTACCCAATTGAAACTTCTGGGGGCCATGAGTCTTAGTCTTAGGATCTGAGCAACTCCAAGCTGCTCCTCAGACTAGGGAAGGATCTGAGCACTGTTACTCTTGAGACAAGGAAAGGAATTCTAGAGCAGGACCTGAAATATGAGGCACATCCCCAGACAGATCTGAGCCAGCCCTGCCCCTTGGATTGAATCCTCTAGATACTGCAAGTTCAAGAAGGGTCCAGGGCAAAATAAGAATCAAATCCAATTTAATCCTCCACATGCAGCCATTCCAGTGTCCAAAGCTCCCTGCCTTGAACCAGAAGTCAGCTGGGTTCTGGGCCCCCTCTGGATAAAGAAGATGTACGTAACCCACAAGCATGAATAGTCCATACAAAGTACAACAGTCTTTTTCAGAGAAGGGTCTTAACTTAAAAATCCAAAGTGAAGAAAGCTCAAAGTGCATGTACAGAGTGTTGCATTAGGCTCAGACAGTGCTGAATCCAAACACCAAAGAAACAGACATGAAAGACAAAAGAGAAGGTTTGATTCCCTCCCCTGAACCACTGACTCAGAAAGGGACTAGCTAGCCTATCCACAAGGCCCCTATCCCATCTGTTTCATTTCTGCTCTTCAGGGGTGAAGCGACAACCTGCGTGACACCTATGCAAACCAGCCCCCCCCCCACTGCTCCTGTTAGGTTCCCAGAGAAAGCAATGACCCTCACCTCTAAAGGTGAAAGTTGCAGCTGGACAAGGAAGATAATTCAGTTCCCACCTGCTTTGCCCTATGAATGCTGACAAAAGCTCACACTGAACTTGTCATTCCACAGACTGACTAGGCCCCAAATTCTTCCAGACTACTACTGGACAGTTTACGATTATAAACTAGAAAGCCCACTGTATTACTAACACTGAACCCTAACAGTACCACTGACTGATGCCCTTGATCTGTTGGACTACAACTCCCATCATCCTCAGTCCACATGGCCATTAGTATGTGGAAGGCTGTCCTATATATGCATCAGTATTAATTTTAAAACTAGAATATTAGTTAGTGTTTTCTATTAAGTAACCGAGAAGTTATGAAATAGAACAAGAGTCCTTCTTATCAGTTACAAGGAATGCGATCTATCTCAAAAAGCTTCTGCTACAATAAAACTTTTGGACTGATGTCACAAATTCCTTCTGTTTTTGCTAAAAGAGAAGGCTTATTCAGAGAAATTGTACACATGAAGGGCACGTGCATGGCCCTGCCCCTGTAGCCCCGTTATTCAGGTTTATAGAATGGTAAGTGCTGTAGAGGGGATACAGGATGTGCATGCTGGTTGCTTGCACTCTTCCTCTAACCGTCCCATGTTGGACCAGAACATCTGAAGAGCCTGTTATCCTGTTCATCTGAAACATCTGGAAAACTGTAACCCTGTTCAGCCAAACACAATTACAGCTTCATTTCAGACCTTACAGTTCAACTGAAGAAGACTGGAAACAAAGAGGCATAACCAGTATGCATATCCTCGTGACTGTTTACACTTATATTCATCACATCTTATTAACAGGACTATTCTTTTGGGGTCATCCATACATTAAGGAGGTAACTCTAACTGGTCTGTTAAATGTGTACCATGATTGCAAACTGATCTGTTTTTTTGCTTCCCCTTCCTTGCATAGGTAGGATTTATTAACCCATATTGTTTCTCATCATTGATATCCCTATTCTTTTTTTAGCAATATTCATCCAACAACTCCAAATTCCAGCTTACTGTAAAATTTAGTAAATATGTGTTAGCATCAATGAAGTGACTCTGTTGTGCTCACTTATGAGTACAATACTCACAACTTGAATAACATTCCTATGCATGTCCCAAATGACTACAGAAAGCCAAAAAAAACCATAATAAAAATCACAGTTCTACCAACTGCAAGTTGGATATGTGCAGTTGAAGTCACAGCCAAGAAAAAAAGCCTTCACATCCAAATCCGCAATGCTACATTAGTAGCGTGGGAAAGACTGACATCATGCATAAGATCTTGCTTTGGGATAAATAGAACAAGCATAATTTCCAATACAGACACTCCTTTCACCTTGTGGAAAGAAACTGCTCATATGTTTTAATACAGGATTTGTAACATGCTTCCCAAGTCAAGTCATTTCTCATCTTGACAGGGAGGTTTAGCTAATTTGGGAGAGAAACAAAACTTTGATATGGAAATAACTCTGCTTTGCTATACTTCAAACAGGAACAACAGTTTAAACACTTACCACAGATTCTTAGCATACAGTTCTTATAATTACAATACACTGTTGTTACAATAAATTACATCTTCAAGCAATCAGAATTAAAGTACAGGAAAGAAGGGTATGTTTTAAGTCATAGTGCTGGATGATATACAGCTGATGCTTATTGAGCTGAAGACAGATACTCAGATTACTCCAAAGGCTTACTCACACTCACTGTAACTTCAACATTTGTGGGTGGATGTCAGCTGCCAAGTCTAGGATGTGATTGCTTTAGGAAAGTGGGTGGATAATGAGTGGCATGCTTCCACATTTCTTTATGATAATGCTTTATAAAATACATGTAAGTGAATAAAACTCATTTTGGTAATTCACATAAAATACAAATACATAGCATTGGAATTGGAAGTGTGATTGGGAGGGATCCTAGCATATCCTGAAATCAAGAGAACAGCATATAGAAAATGAATGCATTGGGGATACTTGTATCTTTGAGTTTCCTTGGAAGATAGCTGCACAATATGCCAAGGTCTGGATGTAATTCTGGAATGAATGAATGAGCAAGCTACAACTGAATTCAGGTAAGAGAGAAGTTTTGTGGTTTGAATGCTCTGTTAATCTGGATATCAGTATTATTCTGGTTTTGTATAGGTTGCAATACTCCTGAAGGACCAGATACATATTTTAGGGAAAGTCTTGGACTCGTTGTCTCACAAAGCACAGGAAGTGGCAATAAACTCACCTGGGGCCCTATCTCATACAGCTAATACTAGCCTTAGTTACCTATGTTCTTGACTTTTTCAAATTGGACTACTGCAATGTGCTTTATTTGAGCTTGAAAATGTCAACTGGTCAATATACTATTTATTACTTAGATGTGGGTCAGACAATCTAATAAGTGATGCCACTTTTGTGCTAAGGGTCAATTCAAAATGCTGGCATTACTTTTAAAGGCCCTAAACCACTGTAAGCATCTGATAATATTTCCTGTAACTGGTTGAGTTGATGAGTAAATGAGATAAGGACTTCTTGGTGGTGGCCACACAGTTGTGAAACTCTCTTCCAGTCACAATGACCTGGTCTCTTCAGTTCTGACCTCAAAAAACTTTAAAATGCAGCTTTTTTCCCTACTGCTCTTCCTCAAGTTAATTGATTAAAGCAGTTTTTCCTCATGCATATATTTGCAGTTAAATATTCTGAATTAATGTACCCTTCTTATTTTGTGTCTATTGTTTTGTGAGGGTTTGGCTCTGAAAAGCGACTAATAAATAACTGGAATAGCTAAATGAATAAATCACATGGTCCACTTGCCTTAATGCAAGCAGCTTATTATTTGAAGTATGCTATTCATCAGGCAAATAGGCTACCTGAGTAGCCTGCACATAATCAGTTGAACAAAAGAGGCAACTGGAAACAGCAAATTTAATTTCAAGGAAACATACATATGTTTAGACT